AGAGAGATGGAAAGAGAGATAGTGTGTGTGTGTGTCTGTGTGTTTGTGTGTGTGTGTGTGTGTGTGTGTGTGTGTGTGTGTGTGTGTGTGTGTGTGTGTGTGTGTGTGCGTGTGTGCGTGGGTGGGTGCTTGTGTGTGTGTGTGTTCTTTTATTTTAAGTATGTGTTGCTGGTGTTATTGTTGTTGAGAATGAAAAAAGAATATCCTTGATTCTTTATTCTTCTTTCCTAAACTGGATGATGATAATGTTATTTTGACTATTGTTTTTAACCCCTCATCCCCTAAAAAGAAGAAAATAATAGCTGTTTTTAACAAATGTCCAGATTCCCCATGGGTAGTAAGCAAGTTAAAAGGAAATCTTTCATGAAAACTGAGTTGCATCCCTTGAAACGGAACCGTAGCCTTTCGCTTTCTCCTCACTGGACGTTCTTTCAACGAGCCTTCACTTTTGTAACTTGCAACCAGTTCATCTGTTTAAATTAATGAAACTGCGTTGGCAGCTGGTTTGATAATAATTACAAATCTAGTAATAATTCATAGGTCCACAATAATTTTAACATTATCAACACGAACATCAATGACATCAACGAGCTATTGGACGACTGCAAGCCGGCGAGAGCCCTCAGCAGGTGGCAACAGTCCTGGGAGTGCGTGCCAGCACTATCTACCGCCTGCAAAACAGATTCCAGGCAATCATCTCCACGAGAGATCTCCAAAGAAGAGGACGACCTCCCCTGACAACAGCTGCCCAAGACCGCTTCGTCGTGCGTCAGCATCGTCGAGATCCACGGTTGTCTGCCTCCGAGACAGCCCAGAACACCATAAGAACGCACGCTATACGGTAGAGCAGTGAATAACCGCACCATGCGCCGCCGATTTATGGCCAGGGGCTGCGTTGTCGGCATCTCGTGCAGAGACTGAACGTCCATCATCGACGAGCTCGTCTCCAGTGGGCTCAGAACCCCGTTACCTGGCGTCATCGACAGTGGCAGCGTGTGATCTTCAGCGACGAGAGCCGCTTCTGCATCGATCCTGACAATAGACGGGTCCGAATTTGGCGCCGCCCCGGACAACGCTACTCTGACGAGAACATCTGGGAGAGAGACCCGTGGGGAGGTCAAAGCGTGATGATATGGAGCGCAATCTGTATCAATCAAAGACTGGGCCTCATAATCTTTCAAAATTTAGGACCTGGACGTGGCAACGGAGTGACGGCACAGCGCTAAATCAACCTAGTCCTGCAGCCCCTTAATGCTCCATTTTTCAAGAGACATCAAAACCACCTCTTTCAGCAGGATAACGCCCGGCCTCACAAAGCACGTGTTTCCCAACAGTTCCTGGTGCAGAACAACATATCCACCAAGCCTCACCCACCCCGATCACCAGATGTGAACCCAATAAAGCACCTTGGGACATCCTTCAGAGGCGTCTCAACCAACTCCAGCCCAGAACCCGGACAGCTGCACAACTGGGTGCTCCTATTCTTCAGGAGTGGGTGCAGGGCCCCAATTTTCAAATCGATCGCTTGGTCCACTCTATGCACTGCTGGTGCACTACTGTCATCAACGCTAATGGGGGCCATACCAGATACTGACTGGAACTTAAGCCCCAAGGTCAAGGTCATTGATGCTGAACAACAAAATCTGTCACCCAGCAAATCTTCAACTTTCAAGCATTGTTTTGTGCAATAAGAGACACCTCAAACCTGTTTCTTTAAATAAAATATTGCTTCAATTTACTCTCCTCTTCGTGTGTCATGTGAGTTCGCTTTACTTTTGCCGATAAGTATATTATTGTTTGTTCTCAACTCTGCTTCTAAGGAAAGGGACTGTTTCTCATGCGTGTGTGTATTCATTTAGCTTTTGATATAGCTGTAGAATAGAATTTAGTTTGGGGGTTAGAACAATGTTCCTTAGCACTTCTTTAGAGACTAGTGGGACAGAGGATTTTTCAACCTTGTTTTTGTTTACTCGTATCATAGTTTGTGTGTGTATGTGTGTGTGTGTGTGTGTGTGTGTGTGTGTGTGTGTGTGTGTGTGTGTGT